AATAATAATCTTTACGCAACAAAACAAAATAAAACAAGATTAAAAGAAACCATCAAATTTTTCTTGAACTGATAATCCATTCTAAGCAGGTCCTTTTTACATTATTTGTTCGAAAAGGAGCAGGTAAAAGATACAAGATCTTTTGATTTGAACACATCTGAAGCCAAATATCTGTCAATATTATATGATCACACTTGAAGCCATGATATTAATGATAACTTTGAATTGTGAAAAAATGTTTTTTTTTTGCACCTGAAAGACAATTTAATGTGGTACCATTAAACCTCCTGGTACATTTTGTACAAATAAAAATGGTATACCTTTTGGACGATGTCAACCTCAACCAGCCGGTCGAGGCAGATGGTCTCCTGTCCTGAGCCTGGTTCTGCTGGAGGTTTCTTCCTGATTAGCAGGGAGTTTTTCCTCTCCACCGTTTGCTCAGGATGGGAGACTGTGATGAAGTGATTCAACACAATCTGCTGCTTTCTTCTTTACATTGTTCTGTTTATCTACAGTGCCCTGAGACAACATGTGTTGTGACTTGGAGCTATATAAATAAACTTGAACTTGAACTTGACGAAGAAAACGTGAGGATATGTGTCTAACATTCTTTTGTTCAAGTCTTGTCTTTTGTTTTGTTGGGCTGATYTCAAACTCATATCTGTGTTCAGTTCACACCAAGGTTTCAGTCTGAACATAACAACAGTTAATGATTTTATTGAATAATAAGTGTTGAGTCCACAGACCCGGCTTGTTAACAGGATGTTGTTAATGTTGATGGTTTTATTTCTGCATTCTGTCTCGTTGTTCAGTTTTAAGGGGTTGGTGGTGGATCTGGAAGATGGAAACCTTCTGAAGTTAGCTGAAGATGGAACCATCCTACGGTACACTCTGGCTTCATAAAACTGTGATTACGATTCCAGACGTTGAAAGTGTTGCTAAACATTTGTTTCTGCTTCATTAGAGCGTCACATGGAACCAACGACATGAGCACAGATGAGATCATCAAACATTACGGTCCAAAGAGGGAATGGAAGCACTTCACCAGCCTCAACACATCCTTCACCAGATCTGGTGGGTTCCTCACAGCTTTAACTCAGATTTTAGATGTTTGTACAGGGTTTTCAACATTTCGTTTGATCTTTTCAGCAAAATACTATTTCTATGACAACTACTTTGACCTGCCGGGAGTTCTGCTCTGTGGAAAAGTTGTGGACATGTTGAACAAGGTGAGAAATGACGCTGGGCTAGATTCATTCAGTCCTCCAGGACAAAACAGAACAACTGGACTTCTGTTCTGTAGCTGGAGACTTTCTCTTCCCATCAGGAGTAACATGGAGCTCCTCATTCTGATGAGTGGGAGGTGAAACGTCTTCAGAACAGATCAGTTTATATACAGACAAATCACAGATTCACTTTGTTAATGTTTAGCTTTGTTTTTAATCAGAGAGGCAACGAGGTGAACTCTGACTTTTGGAAAGACATGTTGGCTGCAATCGATCACAACTACAACACATCTGCATTTAAAGGTAAGAGTGAACAGATTTATGTTCTGTGGAAGAACAACTCAACACACCAGAGATATTTTCCAAAGTCAAACTTTTATTCCGTGTTCTGATCAGTAAGTGGTACATAACTTAACACATCCAATGGGACACATTTTTATAAAAAGCAGTTTGAATTTCTCCTCCTTTGTTCTTTGGTGGTCAAAGTGCTTACGAAAGTGTGTTGAACTCTAATGACATATATTACAAATGCTTTGCATTTTTTTAGTTTGTAAATACAGAGAAATCCTTAAACAACAACATTAATAAAGACATACACAAAAAAAGCACCGTAAAGCTTCCAGGCGAATGTAGAGCACCACTTAGAATATGTTTTTCAGAATCATTCCGTGTTTTTCTTTCTTTAGGCACAAGGTGAAAATGGGTCAGGGATTATTTTCGGCTGTATCTTTTTAGACTGATCTCAGTGAGTCGTTCACCAACCAAATTAAATATCTTAGAAAACTTGACTGAGGCAGTTAAACTTATCAACCCCAGAACCAATTCACAATCTTAATTTAAACTCTGTAAACTGATCTATTCCTCTGTGAAGTTGAATGTTTTGTAAGGTTTTGAGGTTTTTGAAGGATTTTTGAAATCACGTAGAGGCGATTAAGAACCCAGAGAAAATACAATGAACATTTTCTGCAGCAAATATACCATTGCTCTCCTCATCAGGAACCTGAACGTAGACTCTGTCCCCAGGGTGCAACATGAGAACAGCACTGCCTGACATCTGGTCCAGGAAGCCCTTGTTGTACTCATCATAGGTGAAAACAACAGGCTCCTCGTTTTTGTAGAGGGCCACCAAGGCGTTGGCACCATTYACATGCATGTGGAAGCTGAAGAAGTACAGGCCTGGGATCTGGCAGGTGAACACACCYCTGTGTGCATCATAGTGATGCTCTCCGTTGTAGATAACCTGATCAAACTGGATTGGGGCTCCAGCTGGGGGGTAGGCCACGGTCAGCACAGCACTGAAGGCAGACATTGGAGCCTTCATCATCTCATGAGGCATCAAGACTTCATGGGACTTGATTGGCATGCTCTTGTCATGGTGGTAGACCATTTCTCCTGGTGGACCAGGGGGACCAGGAGGACCAGCTGGGCCAGGGATACCATCATGACCTCTCTCACCTGGAAGTCCAGGGGGACCCTGAGGACCAGAAACTCCCTTAGCAACTTGACCAACTGGACCAGGTGGACCTGGAAGTCCTGGATGGCCCTTCAGTCCAGGTGGACCTGATGGTCCAGGGGGCCCAACTGGTCCCATTGACCCTGGCCTTCCAGGTTCACCACTTTTTCCTGGAGCTCCAGGTCCGCCTGTATGTCCTTTAGGTCCAGGTGCACCATTTGAACCAGGGATTCCTGGGGAACCAGCATGACCTTGTGAACCCTTTGGACCCTGAACACCATTATGACCTGGAATTCCTGGAGGACCTACTGCCCCGGGGGTACCTGGTTTTCCACCGAAGCCTTGAGCTCCCTGCTCACCTTTGGATCCCCTTGGGCCTGGTGCACCCACCATACCAATGTCGCCTTTGGGTCCAACTGGGCCTGGCTCACCCTGAAATCCTCTTGCACCCTGTGGACCAGCTGGGCCAATTGCACCAGGACCACCTGGATGACCAGTAAATCCAGTTGGGCCTGGCTCTCCTTTCTGACCGGTGGTTCCTGGAGTTCCAGGAGCACCCCTGCTTCCAGGGATTCCTGGTTCACCTGTTTTGCCAACACCTGGCATGCCAGGGGAMCCTGGRTGACCAGCAGGACCCTGTGGACCCTTAGGCCCGATAGGTCCAGGCATACCTGGTGTACCATTCTGACCTGATTTTCCTGGGGCTCCTACACCTGGAGGCCCGGTGTGACCCTTAAGACCTGGTGCACCCACTGGGCCAGGAGCTCCATCTCTTCCTGGCAAACCAGATTTACCAGGCTCTCCAGGGTAGCCAGTGGCACCAGGGYTGCCAACTCCAGGTTTGCCTGGCATACCAGTTGGGCCCATTGGTCCAGTTGGACCTGCAGGTCCTTGTACCCCGGGAACACCAATGCCTTGTTCACCTTTTGGACCAGGAAGGCCAGGAATTCCAGGATGTCCCTTTATACCCTGCTCACCCCTTGGACCCATTGCACCTGGGAGRCCAGATGGTCCAGGTTTTCCAACAGCTGAAATTCCAGCAGGTCCAGGAATTCCAGGGGATCCAGGTGAACCTCTTTGTCCCATTGGTCCAGGTGTACCAGGGATACCTTTATCACCAGGAATCCCTGGAGTACCTGGTTTTCCGGGTGCCCCTGGGGTACCTGGTTTACCCGCCTGAGAGTGACCAGGGGCTCCAGGAGGTCCTGGTGGTCCTCGTGGTCCTGTGTGTCCAACACCCCTTTCTCCAGGAGCTCCAGGTGGTCCCATTGGTCCCATCTCACCTGGAGGACCTGGAGGGCCTGGATGTCCTGCAACAGCTGAAGAGAACAAACACAACATGAGCTTCTTTCATTATTATTTAATTTAATTTGATCTTTTTATGTCTTAAATCAGGTAAATCAAGTAAAATAAACTGAGATGTAACGTTCTGTGAAGTTCTGACAGGACCTGTGAATAACTCAGGTTTAACCTGAGTTAAACCGCTCCCTGTCTTTGTGGCCACTCTTGTTTCCCTCCTTCAGAGGAACGCAGGTCTGAGGTGCTCTTTGATATCTGCTGTTTTCATAGATTCAAATATTTTGAACATATCTGTTGAAAACTTCACATTTCCTCGTACAGTAAGGTTTCCTCTGAAAGGTTTTTCCTGATGTCAACAGTTAGAGCCACATCTGACAGAACAAGGCTGACATTTGATCTTTGTATTTTAGAAACTATGTCTCTTTGTAGATGATTTTACTGTATGATGATCAGTGGAAGGGTTGGATCTCTCTGTGTTTTATCACTTTGTAACAAATAAAATCTTTATGATATAAAACTGTAACATCAGGTTGTTTGTCATAATAAAACTTTAAATGATCTCAGCTTTAAACTGGAATGACAGTAAAACATTTTGGACCATCAGCATCTGTGACAGTTACCAGAATTGATGAAAAACGTGTAATTTTATCACTTTAAAAAGATGTTRAGTGAGAAATGCTGAAGCCCGGTCTGTGTGGACCTGTGTATCAGTGGATCTAATCYCTCTYAAAACTCTAGAATAATTCAGCCTTGTGTTTATATCACTTTGTAGTTGTGTTGCTTTTCCYTCTGAATCCAGTAAATGAGTGAGAAGTTGTGTTTTARGAGGAAGTGAGCYTGCTGCTGTGTTCTGTGGTGGGGTCTGGACCCTGCAGGGCCTGGTGACGTGCTCCAACCATCTGCTTTAGAGATCGCTCAATTCTCTGTTTGAGTTGCAACTTTGCACTCGTGTAGAGGCGGGCCGTGAAACCACATGAGAAGCCCTCCGCTTTAATTAGATTGTAAACTGCTGAAGGCAGACTTTCAGTCATTTGCCTAAATGTTTTGGTTTTTTTTTTTAAAGGAGTTTTCCCAAACTAACAGCTTCTATTTTTATCGGCGGCGCTCGTTGACAGCTTCGCTCCACGCAAGCCGACAGAAGTCCGGCTGAGCCGCCTGTTAATGACGGCGGGTGGAGCTTCATTTACAGTTTGACTGAGAGCTCAGAGAGGTGCCAGTCAGGATATTAAACCTGCTGCTCGAAATCACTTYGGATCTGTGTGACCAAGTGATGAAGTTGTGTTTTTCTCAGTAAATTTAAAGTTGAACAATAGTTGAATCATTTTAATGTCTTCAGTAAAGAAGAAAAGCAGCTTAAACCATCTTCACAAGCATTAACTTGCTTCATTTAAATAAAAAGAAAAGTGATAACATCAGCCAGTGTTTCCTGCTGCTGTTTAGATGATTCAAACTGATGATGTCATGAGTTGATCTAAAGATGGAGGCTGCTGCTCTCAGCCTCTGACAAACACTGTGAGGAACATTAAAACCATCCAACTCTGGAACTCACCATGGCTCTTGACGGGGTAGGGGACCTTCGTCACTTTTGGGGCGTAGTACCTCTCGGGGGTTCCCTCAGCCAAAGCCAGGAGGACGAGAAGAAGGCTCGTTACTCTCAAGTCCATCTTGTGAAGCTAAACCTGCACACGCAAAAACGAAAACATGAAAACTGTTAACCTGGAGACGGTTTCTGCAGGTTTTTTTTTTATTTTAGCCACAATCAGCTGTGAACTGGTCAGAAAGCAAACAGCTGAACTGTGACCAGTAAATGTAAACTCTGCCACAGTGAGACTGAAGCTGCTGCATCAGCGTTCTGTGTGCATAAACCAAACTGCAGCTCCTAACACCTTGTTGTACCTGCAGCTGCTGTCCCATCCACCCCCCTGAGAGCAGGGAACTCACCGTGGAGGCTTACGCTCCAGACAAACCAAAGATGAAGGTAGAAGCTGCTGTCCCAGAGCTCAGCTTGTAAATCCGTATCTGTAGAGTGGGTCTGCCTTAGTGAGCGGCAGCTGCTGCTTCCCGGACCGTTCTGCTCGACGCATTTATACCGAGCTGCTCTCCAGCATCCTGCAGGACCTGCCTCCCTCCCTGCTCTGATGTCATCTTTAATGATGGGTGCCGAGTCCCAGAGAGGCCTGTCAGTCCAGGTCCTTTCTCCCCTCCCTGGTTCTGATGTGTTAGATCTGTGTGACGGGTGTTCCTGCCACACTTCCTCTGCTGTTCACCAGTCTTCACATCATTCTGTATTAAAGTCCCATCAGCTGCCTGTTAGCATCTGTCTGACTCTAAAACCTCCATCTTTACTGAACTTCTCCCAAACTGTTTGATCTTCTGAGCTTCAAGGTGTAAAAGTTTGTTTCTGGATGTTTTTGTGCTGAAGTGCAGACTGAGTTTAACTTTGATTTCCTGTTTAGAACAGCTCAGTTTAGTCACTTTTGTTTAAATCTGAAAGCTTATCGTTTCCTAATGCAGTGATTAATGAGTTAGTGTTCTGGTGCAGGGTCAGGTCCGAGGCTCATCATGATGGCGGGTTGTGTTCTGGAAACCAGTGTGAGGAGGTTGTTGAAGCTTTGAGACACCAGGAGGCAGAAATGAGGTGTTCTGAGAGACTCACCTGCCTCCTCAGAGACTGGATCACTGTGTCTCACAGAGCCTTTCTTTACTGCAAAAATAACTTCATACACTCAGAAATAAAGACCAAGCAGCTAAAATCATCTGATCAGGAGAAGTGATGGAATTATMGACCAAACCTTTAATCCAGGGCTTCTTAACCTTTTTGACCTCGGGGCCCAATTTATTGAACATAAAGTGACACGAGGCCCAGTCAGACATTACCAATGTATGGATCAAAATGATAATTATTCTAAATGTTGGTTTAATTTTTTATTGTATTTACATTATAAC